ACAGGCCTCTAACTGTTCAATCGTCTTGGGCCTTCTTTGTCGCACCTTCCTCTTTATGATGTGTCAAATGTTCTCTATAGGTGAAAGATCTGGACTGCAGGCTGGCCATTTCAGTACCCGGATCCTTCTCCTACGTAGCCATGATGTTGTGATTGCTGCAGAATGTGGTCTGGCATTATCGTGTTGAAAAATGCAGGGTCTTCCCTGAAAGAGATGACGTCTAGATGGGAGCATATGTTGTTCTAGAACTAGGGGTGCAGAAAAAAAACAAAACGTTTTTTCGATGAATCTAGATTCTTAGTCCTGGCGATTCTGAATCGTTTCTAAAGGTCCATAAATCAATTTTAAAATGCATTTAAGTTTTATATTTTTTCCGCTCCTACTCCCCGTTCGGCCGCTGTAGAATTGAGCCGTGTAGGCCACCGTACAGCAGCTAGCTAGCTAGCTCCCTTTATCTGAATGGAGCCTGCTAGCATGGAGGAGGGAGACAGCACGATTCAAGCCGCTGCTTCGTCTTTAAAAATCATTTCAGATCCTACATTGCTCCGGGGGAGACAGAGCTTCACCAGAACACGGTTGTTTACAAGAAGTGTAAAATAAAATCGCGGTACAGTATTTTGGATATAAGACAAAATTCACGGAAGATGAAAGTGAAGCAGCCGACCAGTGAACTCTGCAACAAACTTCCAGCTGATTCTCCAAAGGCTGTGAAGAGTTCCCTCTCCATCTCCTGCTGCATCACTAAGGATTTATGATGAGACAGCTCAGTGAAGGTGAGAGGTTCAGGTTTATTTTAATACAATGGATCCAACGTACGTTATTCCTTCATGTAATTTTTTTTTTGCGATAAAGCAGCTCCACAACTTCACCATGAAACAACGGATGGGAGAAGCTCTGATGCAGCTGCAGATCAAAGGAAACTGTTATTTCTCATATTAAACTAAAACTTATAGACAAGTTGTTCAACAAACTTTATGTAATTTGTCTTTTTAACAGATTGAAGAGATGAGACACATCTGGAGCCAGATCTAAATGAGACAGTTTGGTTTATAAATTACAGTTCAGAAGAGATTTTGTGCAAACTTGCACAGGTTTTTAAATTTTGTTAAAGATTTACTAAATATAAATCAATATGGTTAAGACTGAAGTCTGTATATTTCATATTAGGTTAAGTTTTGAAAATATAACAAACGTTAGAGCAATATGATTAAAAATAACTGAAGTCTGTACTTTATGTTGAGTTAAAGTTTAATGTACTATGGTAGGCTGAAGTCTGTTTACTTTTATATTTATATATTTTGAATTATTTGTCTGTGATGGACTGGAGACCTGTCCATGTGTCCCCCGCCTCTCACACAGTGATGGCTGATATGGGAACCAGTGATACCAGTGACTCGAAAAGGAAGAAGTGGATGAAGATGATGGATGGATGAATTATTTGTTACTAGATTTTGATTTTTAATTTTTTTTAGAAAAATTCAGGCAGCTAAGCTAACCTAATACTGGTAATTTAAGTTACAGAATTTTATACACTCCTATATTTTTTCCTATTTTTAGTATAAATATAAAATGAATAAAGAATATTTGATACAGTAAGGAACCAAAAATTATTTTTAAATAAATGGTCTATTGTTTAACATTGTTGTTTAATCTTTTCAGCTTGTCAGCTACATAATTGAAACAAAATGTATGACCACTTCAATAGAAAAATCGTTTCTGAATCGAAAATCGTTTTAAAATCGTATCGTGACACCAAAAATCTGAATCGAATCGGATCATCGGACACCGAGAGATTCGCACCCCTATCTAGAACCTGAACATAGTTCTCTGCATTAATGGTGCCTTTCCAGACATGCAAGCTGCCCATGCCACAAGCGCTCATGCAACCCCATACCATCAGTGATGCAGGCTTCTGAACGGAGCGTTGATAACAACTTGGGCTATCCTTGTCCTCTCTGGTCCGGATGACATGGCGTCCCAGTGTTCCATAAAGAACTTCAAATCGTGACTCATCTGACCACAGAACAGTCTTCCATTTTGCCACACTCCATTTTAAATGACCCCTGGCCCAGTGCAAACGTCTGAGCTTGTGGAGCTTGCTTAGAAATGGCTTCCTCTTTGCACTGTAGAGTTTCAGCTGGCAACGGCAGATGGCACGGTGGATTGTGTTCACTGACAATGCTTTCTGGAAGTATTCCTGAGCCCATTCTGTTATTTCCTTGACAGTGGCATTCCTGTTTGAGGTGCAGTGACGTTTAAGGGCCCGGAGATCACGAGCATCAAGTAGAGTTTTACGGCCTTGACCCTTACGCACAGTGATTGTTCCAGATTCTCTGAATCTTTTGATGATGTTATGCACGGTTGATGATGATAACTTAAAAGTCTTTGCTATTTTATGCTGGGTAACACCATTCTGGTATTGCTGCACTATCTTTCTGCGCAACAATGGTGGAATTGGTGATCCTTTTACCATCTTGGCTTCTGAGAGACACTGACACTCTGAGAAGCTCTTTTTATACCAATCATGTTGTCAATTGACCTAACTAGTGTTAATTGGTCTTCCAGCTGTTTGTTATATGCTCAATTTCCTTTTTCCAGCCACTTATTGCTACTTGTCCCAACTTTTTTGGGATTTGTTGACACTGTGAAATTTTGAATCAACATATTTTTCCTTTAAAATGTTACATTTACTCAGATTAAACTTTTGATCTGTCATCTATGTTATATTACAAATAAAATATTGACATTTGCCGTCTTCACATCATTGCATTCAGTTTTTATTCACAATTTGTTTAGTGTCCCAACTTTTTTGGAATCCGGTTTGTACAGTGGTGACGCGTAAAAAAACAGGCCGTCGCCAGACAGTTTATTGTGCGACACCACGTACACGTTTGCGGTCGTAAAAATTGAGCTTTGCACGGACATACCCTGGGGGGTACGCTCGTACCTTTGCGTACGTATGTACCTCTGCGTACGTACGTACGTACGTACGTACGTGCGAACCTCTGCGTATGGACATATACGGGAGTATACTGGGGGCTTAACACTAACTTTAAGATATTAGTGTGTAAATTTATTTTATCTACGTAGCTAGCTAAACTCAGAAGCTAACTAAAGATTGACAGTAACAGATGAAGCTTCGCTTGTAAAAATGTGCTCATCCATCCAGTCAGCTGCTTAAACAATTCACCTGATGTTCACTGTTTATGTTAATGTTCTCCTCACAGGAGGTTCTGACGCAGATGTGAGGACAAACAGACAAAAGAAAAGCGAGGTGGGGGCCACAGGACAATCACAGACTTTGTTGTTTAAAAGTTTGATGTCTTTTTGTACAGTGGGGCCTCCAAGGTGGAGGTAAGTTAAGCTGTAAAGGATTTTGTTGACCAGTTAAGCTTTTATCTCTCAGCCTAGATAATGTTTTTTGAGTAATAATAACACAACCATGTTATTGTTGATGTTTTGTGTTCTCGTGTGTAGTGAACTAGGCCTGAGGTCAAATCCTGACCTTAAGGACCTTATGGGACAGAAACTGTCATTTCATTGATTTGAATCCAGAAATACAGGTTGACCCATCCTGAGACTTTCTTTCTTGAATTAATCAAGTGAAAGAACACTACTTTCTATTATCATTACTATTTTACAAATGTTTGATAATCAAATTGTGTTAGTTCAAACCATTTTTAAATGTTGAAGTGAACTACTCATTTTAAATCAACTGTGAAACAGTAATAACGATTGTTAATCCTCATTCAAAGTAGAAATCAGGTTAATGATGCATTGTCTGATTTTCTGTCTTCAATGAGCAAGTTGTGTAAGTTGGTCAAAGTTCAAGTTTCGGTCAACTGCAAGTTTACTGAAAAGAAATGTCATGTTTAACTTTTACAGCAAGATACTAGAGAAGTGACTCCACGAAGTCTGAGTTCTTCATAATATCTTCTGTCTGTTCTTAAACAATCTTAATCTTTTTCCTTGACTTTTAATAACCTCTTACATCACAAAACACACCTCTGTTTTGGTCCATCGACCAATCAGAAAGTTCTCAAATGAACCGGAAGTGAGCTCTTTTAAAAGGTGCAACACTTCCTAGTTCACAGGAGTTCTACGGGCAGGAGGTTCCAGCTCAGTAGTTCTGAGAAGTTCTCGGCAGTTCTAGGAAGAACGCTGAGGAGAACGCTGAGAGAATGCTGTGAGTTAGTTCACAGCAGTTCCAGAGTTCAGAAGGCTGTAATTCAGGATGCTGGAGGAAGAAAAATAAGCTGAACGGGAGAAGATCAGGGGAATTATGAAATGTCTGTTCTGGATGATCTCACGACTCCTGAGGTTTAGCTGTTCTTACGGAGACGCTGGAAGAGTTGAAAGGAAAGCTCTACACCAACGCTGAAACTATCATCTGCAAAGGTAAAGAGTGGATCTCAACCAAAGTGTACCGTTGGGTCAAGCTGGTCCGAAGGAGCGTGTTGTTCTGGTTATAACAGACAAATTCCCTCCCCATCTCTCTCAACTTAAACTTCATTTCCCATCTTTAAAATTCTTCTATCTGCTAGCAAATCATTCCAGACATTTTTAGAAATATCTGTGGTGAAGCAACGGAAAATCATGGCCGTATGGTTTTCCTGATTGTAAAGCTGATTAATTATGTTGTTATTTTCATGTTTGACAAATTAATGTAAATGTGTGATGTTAAATTTTGATTCTGAAAATAAATGACCACGTTCATTTTGATGGGTCAAAGATAATTAACGTCTCACGCTACATTTTTAACTATTCAATGCACGACATTATACAGTCCAGAAAAATGAAAGAATCCGTTTAATTTATGAATATATACAGCATATGTTCATCTACACGTGTCAATTAGGGAGATGATCAGAGCCCTAAACCCCAGAGAACCACAAAGAAGATTCAGGAAGAGACACAGAGGTGCAGAAGTCTGCATCATCCCTACCTCAGTGAATCCAGTGACCTGCTGGTGGGATGTGAGGGACAATGTCAGTGCTGTCAAACTGACAACCAGGTATTTGTGTGTGCAACAATCATCATCCACAGCCTCAGAGTGAACATTTCCTACTGTGTAATTTCTTGTTAAAATAATATGAATCCATATCAGACGTACACACAGTAGACGTCACATGATGCAGATCTTCAACATCATAGATCAGATGGTACTGCTTCTGTCAGCAGTGTGTATTTATTTTGATGTTGCAAACTTTATTTTATCATCAACACACTACCTTACTTATGATGACCGTTTTAGATCTTTTCCTTTGAAAAACGCTATACGTGCTCTTTTGTTACCATTTAAAACTGCAAAATGTGAACTTTCCATTTTACATTCATGGCATGATTCATTTATAAACTGAGGGATTTGACTTCATCAGCTCGTGATCTACAGCTTTCGCTGGGATGGGTTGCAGCAGAGTGTGACATGGCCGGGATGAAGATCAGTTCCTCCAAATCTGAGGCCATGGTCTTGAGCCGGAAAAGGGTAGAGTGCCCTCTCCGGGTCAGGAAGGAGGTCCTGCCCCAATTGGAGGAGTTCAAGTATCTCGGGGTCTTGTTTCTTGTTCACGAATGAAGGAAAAATGGAGCGTGAGATCGATAGGCGGATAGGTGCAGCATCTGCAGTGAAGCGGGCGATGTACCGGTCTGTTGTGGTGAAGAGAGAGCTGAGTCAAAATGCGAAGCTCTCAATTTACCGATCGATCTACGTTCCTACCCAGAGGAAGACCCAGGACATGCTGGAGGGACTATGTTTCTCAGCTGGCCTGGGAACACCTCAGGATTCCCCCGGAGGAGCTGGACCAAGAGGCTGTGGAGAGGGAAGTCTGGGCCTCCCTACTTAAGCTGCTACCCCCGTGACCTGACCCCGGATAACGGAAGAGAATGGATGGATGGATTTGGAAGATAGCTATACTATGAAGCTATGACAAAACACTGCTAGTGACAACAGAATGTGTGTCCGTGTGCTAAACTAATACACAACGCTTTATGGGCTCTTATTAATAATACTAGTGGGTATACAGTATTTACGTGTAGCTCAGTCCTTCTCAAATAGTGGGGCGCGCCCCCCTGGGGGGGCCCGGAGCAATGCCGGGGCCCCCGCATGTGACCCCGGGGAATATTTTGTGGCAGGGATTAGTTGGTTTTTTTTGCACCATTTTCATTGTTTCAGGATGCGTTTGGCAACTGTTTGCTAAAATCCATCAACTCTCAGTCTTAAAATAATAATAAAGTTATGAACAAATATGTCTGTCTTGTTGTTTGGGGAGCCATGATTGAACCGTGTCGCTGTGACACCTCCTCAGCTGGTGACGCTCTGGACGCTTGTCACCCACAGCACGCATACGACAGAGAATAAAGTCAAAGAAAGAGCGTTACCTGCCCCTCTTCCTCTTTAACAATATTTTTAGTTTGTCAAAGCACAATTTTTGTGCGTTTTTTAATACAGAAGTAATGTTTAATAAATGTTAGGACTCTATTCTTTACTAACAAGTCCTCCGCTCTGGACTCATTTCACCCACAGCACGCAGCAACAAAGAGTATAAACTCAAAGCGAGAGCGACACCTGCCCCCTCTTTCGCATTGACAAAATTTTTTAGTTTTATCGATTGACAAAGCACATTTTTTAATTTTTTTTTATTTGTTATAAAAACAGATGTTTAACAAATGTTAGGACTCTATTCTTTGCTAACAAAATATATTTTGTCATTAAACAACTTGTCAGGTTCTTCTCTTGTGAGCGCGTTCCCCTGGACCCCCACACCCCTCCAGCTCGCTCTTTGCGACTTCTCTGCTGTTTCTGCACTGAGACCAAGTCCAGGTCCAGCTAAACATTGAGCAGGAGCTGAGAGCTGCAGGATCATGTTTCAACCTCAGCTTCAAAAAGCCAGCATGGCCGAGCAAATCGCAGCAGTGGCAGCCTTAGTGGCACTTCCGGTGTCACGCTGCATCCGGCTTCATTGGCAGCTGCCGCGATTTCATTGGCAGCTGCCACGCTGCTGCGGCTGCTGCCATGACACCTGCCACTAGTTTATGATGTACTGACACCTTCACTGGCAGCTGCCTCGCTGCTGTGGCACCTGCAGCTAGTTTATGATGTACTGA